GTTTTGTTTTCCTACTTTGCATAAACCTCATCCCAGGTACATTAAGTGGCTTTCTAGAACATAGTTACAAAACATCATCCCACTATTTACACTAATATCCAGGCAATCAAGGAGAACACCATTTTGTTTAGTTACTGTTTCTGAACTGGAGATGTGTGTGTGTGTATGTGTGTGTGTGTGTGTGTGTGTGTGTGTGTGTGTGTAGGTGTAGGTGGTGGGGGCTACTAATTTTTTTTAAACATAAAACAATTCCTGGAAGAAAGTTTGTGACTTGGGTATGCCCTGGGTTCAATTCTGCCAGGAGTAAAAACAGCCAACAAAACCCTAACCTCCTTCCCCTCTCAACTACACAATAGTGTTCAAAGACATTCAGTTGTGCCATGAAAGACCAGTGTTAGACATCGGAAGGGGTCTCATACAGAACGGGCACTGGGCCTTGAATAAACAAGAGAGATGGTGACCTTCTGCCCCTTCCACTGAAAGCCTGGTACGGCTGCGGCGGAGGACCAGACAAACGCTGGTGTGTGACTAGGTGCTGTGATGTCCTTCCTCTGGGTCTCTCCTATACTTTCTCCTTAAATAGCGTACAGCTTGACATGTACTCCATCGTATCAGGGAGTGAAAGAAAAGCAAAATTCCCGAGACCAACTGTTCTGCTCTCCCTTAACCCTTTGTACCCCATATTGTTCAAGTCTTGCAGAATGCAGCCCACGTTTCACTAGCAACAGGAGAGAGACAATGGATCTAGCAGTAGCTGGACAATTAGTGCCAATTAGGCCTATTTCCCAGCTGAATGTAAAGCCTTTGGTGGGGTGAAGTATAAGGAAATATTGGAGAAATTTTAAAGAACTATTTCACCACGGAAGTTAACGATACACGGTAAAGAAAACTGAACTGAGGGTGAGAAGACACTGCCAAATTCACCGTGTGGCATTAGGAAAATACCTTTCCCTCTTCAGTTCTATCTACAAAATGTGAGCAACTTAGCAAAATCTTCCAGAAGCTCTGAAGACCTAATGTACTTTCGTGGTTGAATGTGCTGTAAAAATCTGAATAGTTACGCAGATGCAAAGGGTTTCTCCTGGGCTACATTTGAAACCACAGATACCCATCTGTTTTGGAAATCATTGCCTTCCACTCCCCCTAGCAAAATGCTGAGGGAATAGTTTTCTTTCACTTCACTTTTCTTTTCTTGATTGTTATTATTTTTTTTTTCTTTTCAACATTCACGAGAAATACTTACATATGTACATGTGGCGGCTGGAATCTGCTCTGGTTGATGTTGTAGTGTGTGAATGCCTGGGTGGGGTTTGAGCTATACTCATCCACCGTTATGGTAACTTTGCCTTGAGAAGGAATCCCATGTGCCATCCTTCCTCCCTATAGGCATGAGCAATTCACAACTCTCTGGAGCAAAAGCGGGAAGCAGGCATGGTGCGCTTCAGCCGACCTCTGAGTCCAAGGATCTACTCATCAATACTGCTGTACGTTCTAGAAGAAAGCAAAACAAAACATACATGTGTGTATGTGTGTATATATATTTTTAAAAATAAGAATGAGTAAGGCAGTTCTAAGACACATTAAGTTTAGGATCTAATACAAAAGTGGCTTAAATTTGAATCAATAACTATTTCCTCGTGGGTCTAACTGTTGCCCACTCTTTGCTGCATGTCCCTCAGAGTGGACTCTACACCCTTTACGGCATCACTAGATGATAGTGAATCGTCTCAATGGAGTTCAAACTAAGAATTCCTCTCTAATTATAATTATGGCACTTAACGTGAATTGCAGAAGGGCCAAATCCACAGTTGCCATGGTGTCTAGCTATAAATGGTTTGTGCTGGAAGACTCCACCAAGCCTTCCCTGCTAATTGAAATGTTTGGTTCTTACAAAATTGGTATCGCATTATACAATCACTTGAAATCTTGATGCTTCGACGAGCCACAGGACACAATGACAGACGCAAACTCAACGTTCTGTGCTCATTAACAGACATGGGCGTAACCACAGGACGCACGTGATGCACATGTTACACGCAAGTTTGTCTGGCAGTCACTTTCTTAAATACGCGATGCTTGATACACATACCATCTTCTCTCTGGCTAACCATGGTGCACTTTCATTCACTACTCTAGTCACTCAGGGGAAAGCCAGAGGAGCACAGGATTGGTCAGTCACTTTGTAACCACGGCCTCCCTCTTCCCTCCCTAAGGGAGCATGTAGGGAGGGCAACCATTACATCTGTGGCCTCATTCTTGGTGCTATGTAATTCTTGCTAGCTGGTCTAATTTCCTTAAGAAATTTTCAGCAGTTCTGATTCTTTTCATAAGTCAATGTATGAGCTGCTGCACAGGGTACAAAAATGAAGATATCGGTTTTAGTGGCAGATGGCTCAAAGACGGAGGAAAGGAATCCCTTGCGTGGAACCTGTCGCCATCAATGATCAATCGGAGGAAGTTGGAGGCACCACATACTCCTCGGCTAACCCTTGGCTAACCTGCCCTCCTCTCTAAACACTCTGCACCAGAATTCACTTGCCATGTGCACTATTAAGCTCCAGAAATCTTAGCTGCTATCTCAAATAAAAATATTTAGAATAATAAGATTAGATTGAAATTTGGCGTGAAACACCTTAAAATATCGAACAAAAGGCAGATGGCCTGCCATAAGCCATTTATTTTATATTTTGCAACCCAGGGCTCCTGTAGTCCTCCATATGCTAGCTGGGCTAAGAAATTCCACAGTGTTCTACTCAAATGATTGCTTTTTTCACATCAGTAAAGCAAGCTAGGTCACACCCACCTGGCCTGTGTTCCCAGAACATTCCCACAGCCAAGAAAAGAGGCCCTGGTGTTCTGGCATTTTTAACAAAATGTCGCCTTGGGTTCTCTTTCTTCTTCCTGACTTCATGGGAGGTATGACTCCCTTAAGCACCAGCTGATAAGTGATCTGGCTAGTAGGATTAACTGAATTAAATCTTGCCCTGCTCCTCTGATGTAAGATATCTGTAAAGAACTGCTTACGAATCATAATGTAGCAGTTTTCATACTAAGTTTGCAGCTGTTTCCTTAATTTCCGACACAATTATATTTTACTGTTATTTTGCATAACAGTAAAACACAACACCTGCTTCAAATTGCAGTCCTGCTCTAAGTGCCGAGACACAACCGAAGCGCGGGGCTGCATAATTGCATGGTGCTCAAAAGTAAATACAAATGAAAACATCTTCCTGTTACAGAAATGACTGTCATTAAAAAGAATGTTAGCCATCAAAGCGCAGAGGGGGAAAATACACATTTTCAGAATACGAGAACTCGGTCTTTGCATAAATTAGAGAGTAGTATAAAAATTACTTAGCAATTCTTATTTTCCTTCCATCAATGTCTATTGTGTGAGGTACTGAACATTTCGGAGGCAACGGAAACCAAATTCATGTCTAGACCACTTTGACCTCAGAGTAAGTATCTGCACCTCTCTGGCCAGAAAGAATCTAAATGTTTGGGGAGAAAAGTTACTGACTAAACTAAGAGAGTGTAGGCCAGAAATAAAAGACATCCTGAGTATTTACAGTAACTTGAAGTGGCTAGAAGGGCATCCTCTCAGGCTGAAGCCAAGACGAGGCAGAACTTACACGACAGATTCCCACCTCTAAAGTCCACTCCATCCTGAAGTCACCCTACCGATTTTCATTTTCCGTGGGGAAACACTTATGTCCCTTTGCACCTCTGTCCCCAGCAAGGCAAACAGTATCTCTCCATCAGCAAGCCCAGACCCCTGCGATTCTGAAGGGCTAAATGGGTGGCTGGCATCTCATTTGAATTCATCTTTGCCTTGTTCGCTTTCAGATGTTTTATCGAAACAGTGCACCTGCCGGGTCTATCTTCTTTAATCTGGAGTCCTTTGAAGGAAATGTCAGACTCGGGCAGAGAGCTTCAAAACTTTCCCAGCACCTTTACAGACAAGTCAAGAAAAGGCTTTTTTTTTTTTTTTTAATGCTATGCCCAATTCCACCCACACCTCAAAATGAATATATCCTAAGACTGGTGTGTGTGGGATTTTTTTTTGGGGGGGCAGGGGCTCTTGGTGACAAAACCATGAACAAAACCACTTCACTTCACATGAGATTTTGGGGAAAACCGCCACGATGCAAGGACCCCATCTTAACCTTCGAAGAAGCTGCATCATCACCTTGCTTCAAATCTTCAGGCTGTAAAACCCTCCCGACCACATCCTCTTCTCACAACAGTTAAAGGGAGCAGCTTTCTTCTTTTAATTTTATACTTCAATGCATTTTATCCACAAACAAAGGCACCCAGCACAAGATGCCAAAATGCCTAAAGAAAAATCTAAACAGGACTGTCACTGCCAAGCATTCACGCTGGTGTTAGAGTTTCAGTTTAAAAAAAAAAAAAAAAGCTCACGTGAGCCATTGAGCATTTCCTAGACAGCAGTCCCTTCTGTCCCTTAAGCTGCAAGACTGGAAATTTTCTTTTCCAGGAACCCACTTGGAAAACCTCTTAAAGTCTGCTGGCAAGGAAGGGATTAAATACTGAAGGCTTAAATAACTGTCTCCACCTCCTAGACATCAGAAGTCCGATTTACCTAAACTTTCAAAGCAACAATTCCTGACCTCTCTACTCATGCGCCGCCCAAGCCAAGCCCAGGAGAAATGAGCCCTGGATTTCGCTTTCCTTGTTTAAATAAGGATGCTCACTTTAATCAGAAAGATAGCCGCCCCACCAACTGAGTGGAGGGATTTTGGAGCTCGCCCCCCGGTCCAACCCGCCAAATTTCATTCTCTCCTCCCTCTGCTTCAGGGATCCAGAACCTTCTTAACTCACGCCCCTCTTTTATGCCCATTTCCAGTTACTCATCCCCACACGCGGGAGCGCGATGCCCACACGCCTTCCCAGCGGTTGCACCGCTAGTTTATTTTTCTGGAGATACTGACAAAGTTCCACGTGCCTCTGTCCACTAAGCTCCCTCCCTTCCAATCACACTTACACCTGAACTTGTCTCCAGCACTGCTGACACCCAGCTGGCACATTCTTTCGGAGAGGGAGGGCACGACTTTTCTCCTGAGCCTCTGACAAAGCGTGGAGTCTATATATGGTGGGGCGAGGGGGGGCGCAGAATTCTCTACTTTGGATTGGTTTGTTTGTTTTAAATGTAGGGTGGGCAGATGGGGTGGGGGCTACAGCTACTGCACACACACACACACACACACACACACACACACACACACACACACACACACACACACACACGCATGCACGCACGCACACGCGCCCTGCCCTGTCAGCTCTCGCTGCCTGGTCCTGACCATAACTCTCTCCATTCCTCAGGCGCTGAGTACCCGGCTTCCACGGTCACCGCCGGCGGCGTCGGCACTAAGGACCCTAGACTCGCTGCCCCGGGGTCGGCTAAGCATCTCCCCCCATCTTCCTCTCTCCCAGCCGGGGACCGACTGAGGATCGCTGTAGGACACCGGCTGTGACGCCGCGCCATCCTCGGTGGGGGAACATAGCCTCTGGTCTGGGACGCAAGCCTCCGGAGCGCGCTGGCATCTCCGAGCACACAGACAGGAGCCCGGGTCCGCACCGTGAACAGCCGCCTCCTCGCTCTGTGTCCCGGAGCTGCCAGGCGCCTTCCCCACAACGGCTGGAAAGGGAAGGGACCCGGCTGTCCCTATCAGGCTGCAGGGGTGTGGAAGTCACCGCCTTGCCCCCTCTTTGGAAGTCTTTCCCTTCCAGTTAAAGTTATGTTTGTTTTCCCCAGCCTGACCTGTTAGTGTCTGTACCATCACAAATCAATTACACATTTTTCATGACTCGCATTCGCTCTTAATTCCGGGTGTGTTTGGGGGGTGCGCTATAAATCAACCCCACTGATCATCTTTCCATGTTATTTTCTTGCTGGGGGATTTCAACGCCCTCTAGAACCTCTAGGTTTTTTTTTTTTAAATGCTCTCTTCACCTCCTAGGCCGCAAAAGCCCGGAATTGGAAAGATTTTTTTTTTAAAGACAACCTTGCCACATGTAAATGTAAATAGAAAAAAAATTTAAAAAGAAAGAAAAACCCAACTCCTGCTTAGGTAGAAAAGAAATTGGGCGGCCACGGTTACTTTTCCACGCGACCGTACCCCGCCTCCCAGCCGCCTCGATCTGCAGGCTGCGATCGCCGAGACCGGAGAGTGAGGTCGGGGCGCGGGGGCCGGCTGAGAGCTCCGCGCGGGAGCGCTGCGCGCGCGGGCGCCCCGAGCACAAAGCTGCGCCCAGCCGTCCGGCCACTACACCTGGCCCGGGGCCGCCGCAGGGCGCACGGGGCTCGGGCCGACACAATGCACGCGGGCCTAGGCCGGGGCAGCGGCAGCCACGACCCCGGGACTTTCGAGTAAACAGATCTCGGACTCCCGGGCCCCACCCCCATCCCCGCCGCGGGGCTTCGGCCGCCGGCTTTCGCCGACAACCCCCCCCTTCCTGAGAAATCGGGGCGGAGGAGGGGGCAGGGAGGTGGAGGACCCCGAGAGGTCGGTGGCGGAGGGCTAGGGGGAAGGGAGAACAGGGAGCGAAATGGGGAGTGGGAGGGAGGACAGCTACGGAAAGAAATTCGTTCTCGCTGGGGGGGGAAGGGGGTTGCAAATCTGCTCTCCCCGGGTCCTCGAGGGCTCACTCGGCCAACCTCTGGGTCGGCGGGGCCGCCGCGCTCCGCAGCCCCCGCGCCCTCGCACGCGCCTCTGACAAGGCACCTCTCACCCGGGCTCCGCTTTGTGTGTGCATTTTTTTTCCCTTCCTCTCGCGCCCGGCACCGGCCGCCGGCCGCCTCCTCCCCCCCTCCCCCGCCCTCCGCCTCCCTTCCCCGGGCGGATTACCTTTCCCGGGCTGTGCTCCGGGTCCCCGGGATGCCTTCAGCGCCCCGTGTGCGGGCGAGCCATCGCCGAGCCACTCGAGCCGGCTCGGAGCAGCGCTGGGGGCGGCAGGGGTGAGGGGCGCGGGCGGGCCAGAACCTTCGACCCCGGAGGTCCCCGCCGCCGATCCCGGGCCTGGGGGAGGGGGGGTGGAGCGGGGTCGCGGTGCGAGCGGGGCGCGGGGTCGCTGCGGGGGGGAGATGGAGAGGACCGGAGCAGCCTCGATCTGGGGAGAGAGGGAGCGAGGGGGCGAGGAGAGGCAGCGAGGGCGCGGCGAGCGAAGGGAGCGCGAGCGGTGCAGTGACAGGGACTGCCACTGGGGTCAAAGGAGCACAGCTCCAGGAAGCTGGGCCGCCCAAGCGCCGCTCTCTGGGAGCTCCCCGCCGGGACCCCGCGCCCTGCACGCCCCTGCAGTAGTTCCGGCCCACTCGAACCCCCCACCCGCGCCCTGAGGCCGCGGGGTTTCCAGGAGAGGAGGGAGAGCGGAGGGCGAGGCCCGCAGGCTGCTGGTGCTCCTGGGTCAAGCAGGCGGCAGGAAGCTGAGCTGCAAGTTCATCACCGTGTGTGATCAGCGTTCAAATGATAGGGGTCGGGGAGATGGGGGGCGGGCCACGGAGCGCCAGGAAAATAGGGGAGCCCCCCAGATGGGCGTCTTCTGCAAAGAGAACACCAAGCCCCCGCCCCCCACTCGTGAACCTGCCAGGCTCTGTCAGAGGTCCTGGCACAGCTCCAAGGCGCAGAACTCGCTGCAGGGGCAGGAGGAGCGGCTAGGGCACAAGGATCACACCAAGGGGGACGACCCCAGGGTCCCGTCCCTCCCCTCTGCTGATCTGAGGCTTTCCTGCGGGGTATCAAGGCTTCCCTCTCCTCATGCTTCTCAAAGCGCCAGACACACACACACACACACACACAAACCTCCCTTTGGTTCTACAATGTTGTTCCTGAGAAAGAAAAGGCCAATCCAAAGACAAGGTTTTTTTGACCTTCAAGAATTAAGACAGGTTCGGGATAAGAAGGTGAAGTGAGGCAAAGGCTTTAATTGTTTCCATTTTTTGCCCCCCTCCCCCATCCCCCTTTGAATCTCATTTTCCCTCTCCCAAAGACATGCACTTCAAAAACCAGTTTAAAATCAAAGTTACTCCAATTTTCTCTGCTACTTTGGAAACCGGGAGGGGTGGGGGGTAGGGGTGGGGGTGGAACACTAGGAATTGTATGCAAAAGAGGGTCGGGTAAGAATGGGAGAAGCCTCTGAAAAGCTAGGACAGAGGGCTTTTTAGAAAACTTGGTTGGCGCGGTTGTATGAAAGATGAGTTGGCCTTGTGATGTTATGCCACTGTCAGAGCTAAAGGATTTGGAAGGCGACCAGATCTAATTCCTTTCTAAGAGTCAGACTCCAAAAATCTGCGTTCTCCGAAGGCAACACCAGTATGAGTGCACGAGAGAGAAACGTGTACTTAGTACACTCTGTGGCCACTGACTAGACGTCCTGGCTGAAAGTATATCCCCTAAAATTAAAAAGGAGCCATTTCAACCTGGTCTGTGGCCTCTGCGCTGAGACTAATTGGTTTCCAGGGTCTGGAGAAGAAGGGAGAGAGGTTGGAAGGAGCCCCTATTTAAAAAAAAAAAAAAAAAAAAATCAAACGGAATTCGCTTGAAAATATTTCTCTTTTACAATAGACTTTCCTGACACTTGAATTTTAAGTAACCCATCTCTTATGCTGAGGCAGAAATGAAGGAGAAATGGGCTTACTGATGCCCTTTTATTATACACCATGCCCAGAGTGTCCGTGCTTGTCTGATGTGCTGAGAGAAAAGGACAGTGCCTTCCCTTGCCCAGCACAAATCACAGCAAGTGACATTGACACTAAAGGATGCCAAAGATGAGGTGAAGGGCCACTTTTATATTTTGTTTTCTTTTGTTTTTCAGCTCAACCATGCACACTGACTAGAACCATGGTTTGGTGTTTTGTTTGGTTGGTTGTTGTTGTTGTTGTTGTTGTTGTTTTAAGATAATGGTTTTTGTTTCCAGAAGAGTTAGCAGTACACTCCTCTCACATAAATAGTTGGAGTTTTAAGACTATTTGGACTGCTATCACTGTGCACCACCGCCCCCCACACTGCAGTCAGTTGAACTAGTTTGAACACGGTTTGGAATCTAAATAGCAGTCTGCTGTGCTTTGCTAGCATATTTTACAGGATAGTTAATGTGATTAAAAATCAAGTGTGTGGTTCTTTAGAAAGTTGATGGGAGTTTGTACCACCATTTTACTGCTTAAGGGAAACTGAGGGGAATAACTGAAATTTTCAATATAAGAAGAAATCAACTTCACTGGGTTCTGTTTATAGATCAGTTCTCCAGCAATGACCAACTTCTATGTGGGTTGAGAATTTTTATTTCCTTTGAGCTGCTACAACAAAAAAAAGCTGGAGAAATGTAAGTGAATTTAAATAAATCAGGAACAAGAGGAAGTCACTTTTCAAGTAATTCTCGTTATGTGGGTTTGAGCTTACATTTTGAGATATTATCCACAAATACAGGTACATACCCTGAACGCTTACTTTAAAATGATTGGATGCCCACCACATCCATTTCCTGATGCTCACTATAAAACCCTGAAAAATATCTTTTCAGAATGCATTTAAGGAAGAAAATGAGAAAAACTCAGGGTGGAGGCTTAGAGGCAAATGATGCTTCCCTAAAAGTTCAATACTTTGTTGGAATTAGTGCTCAGCCTCCTGTAAGAAAGACTCCCGGAACAGGAGCCAAAAAAACCTAGGCTGTCCTGTGTATCTTTTAAAGAAACAAAATCATTAAAACTATCACATTTCTTTGGATAATTTCAATGGAATTATATAAATGTCATAAAAAACTACAGCTATGTCCTCTCTCTTTTTGTCTGTAAGCTGTCTACATTTTTAATAACCATTTCCCTCAAAGTCTAGGATGAGTAGCATTACAAATCAGAGCTTTGTAGCACTACCACTGAGATACAATAAAAATCGTCCCTCGACCAATAAACTACTTTTTAAAAGTCCCACTTTTTTCATGCCCACGGTTCTCACTTTTTAAAATTGCTTCAGGTATTTTTATTGTAACGCCTGCCCAAAGGTGACAAACTACGCCTTATATTTCTTTCTACCCTCCACGCTTATGTACAGTGCACAGGGACACTTGGAAATAGTTATTCAATGACTATGTGAGTCAATAAATGAACACGCAGAGGAGAGAACGCATCACTGAGTAAGTCAAACACACGAGGAAGAAAAATCCACGCCAGATCTGCAAGAAAGGAAGTGACGTCATAAGGCTGGCGATGGGAGAGTCCGAACACTTAGTGTAGCTAAAATAGTTCAGTTTAAAGGGTTTTGCTACTGTCTCTAGAAATATCAGACTGTTTTACAAAATCATTTTCTCAGTGAGAAACTGAAGACTGTGCTACATCCGGCCCATTTAAAGGCTTTTCTCTTGAAATACAGTTGGATACCAAAGTAAAAAGAAACCTGAGCAAAACTGTGCCTAAATATTTACAAAGATAGTTTGTCAAGATATATTCTCAAAAGAAAACCATATGATTAATCTGATCCTTGGATATGTCTTTTTGTGACACATTCAAAATAAACACAAGAATAATTTGGGGGTTCGTTTTACTTAAAACTTCTTTTTGGTTAACAAAAATATACATGATTGAGAAAGACTGGAGATATGCTAGAACGGATGAGATTTTACTTCATGAAATAAGTTTCATAATGAGTATGCTAGAAAAGGTAAATTTGATTTAGCTTTTCTGGCAGCAGAAATAATAACAAGCAAGGAAGATATGAAAATCTTAAAAATTTACAAAACACGAATTCTTGCCATTTTTAGTAAATGATGCCTAGCGTGTATCAGACAAACTATTGTATTTACTATTATATATGGCAGATATATT